GGGTTACGTCCAGGGTTTGAATCCCGGCAACTGCGATGAGGGGTTACTATGCTAAAAATGCATAGGGCCTCCGCAAGTATCAGGGACATAGTCCCACTCTCTACTTGTCAGATTGAGATTATAGTCCAGTTTACATTCTCACAACGTACCGTACAGTCGGGATTGGAGGGCCCTCACGGAAGGGAATCATCTGAGATAGATATGTTTTGACATAGTAGTACTAGTATTTAAAATTTGGAAAGCTTCGGAAAATCTTACATTGGGGAAAAACGTACGGTCGATCAATGTAGCTAAAACCCTCCAAACCCCTATTCTGTCCATTGACGCCACGCCACAGGCCTTCAAGCAATATGACAATGTCTATCTGAGAAGACAACTCAATCGGTGACTCATTTTTCGTCTTTGATTGGAATAGTTCGCTCTCGTTACCCCCTTTGTGATGTTCACCGCAAGAAACCTTCAAAGGCACTCTGTTAGAGCCCTCAATTTTCTCATTTCCAGCAATCCTACAGAGTATGTACTATTTCCTCCATTCCTCCCGCCAACTATACCCTGTCATTTGCGTTATTAGTCAGATTTGATTGATCTGTATGGTTAATTTTGAAAAAAATTAGGAATGCGGTGCTACCCAAAGGAGGCAATTCGCGGCCCATGGACGGGAATTATCGGCCTGTACTCCGTGGAACTAAAGAGGCGACGGAGCCATTTATGTTTCTTAGAATTCGGAATCAAAGAGCCATTTCTTTTGACGGGGCTCGAGGGATGTCAGGGAAGAGCATGAGAAGCAAAGTGGAGGCGCGGCTGATTAAAGAGACGGGCAAAACCCTAAGAGAACGTAGGAGAGCTGGTAAACTTAGGAAGAAGTTGATGACTGAAGAGGAACGGCTTTTATACAATCTTAGAAGAGTACGTTAAGTCATTTATGATGAAGCATTCTTCACAGTCAACTCAACTCCCTATGGCATCTCTATAGAAATGCAAAATTTGTTTTTGTTTTCTTCTTGACTTATATCTTTAGCATGTTATGAGTTTCAGTGCGTGTATTAAGATGAAGAAAAATGATTTATTTTGCCCCTAGCATCCTCATGTTTTGTTCTCTTTCTCTAGTGTAGGCAAAGAAAAAAGTGGCATTGCTTCTTCAGAAGCTGAAAAAATATGAGCTTCCAGAGCTGCCATCTCCGAAGCATGATCCTGAGCTTTTGACCCCCGAGCAGCTTCAGGCATATAAGAAAATTGGTTACAAGAATAGAAACTATGTTCCTGTTGGTGTCCGAGGTGTTTTTGGGGGAGTTGTCCAGAATATGCATCTTCACTGGAAGTTCCATGAGACTGTTCAAGTTTGTTGTGATAATTACCCTAAGGAAAAAATTAAGGAGATGGCCTCCATGTTAGCACGACTGAGTGGTGGTATTGTGGTTAACATTCATAATGTGAAAACCATTATTATGTTCCGTGGAAGAAATTACAGGCAACCCAAAAATCTGATTCCTATCAACACACTTACAAAAAGGAAGGTCAGTATGTAGTAAAATCTTTTGAATTTCCTTATAATCTTTTATTATGATGTCAGCGAGACGTTCACTTGAACTGTCAAGTTTGCTTTCGAAATAGGTTTCAGGGGTTGAATTTAACAAATTTCTGAATGTTGAAATATACTGAGATGATGGTTCAGATATGTGCATCTATATATTTACATGAAGATCAGTTCTGTGTTTTATACTTCGATATGTTTTATGATGAGATGTATATGATAGATGTTACCAGTACTCTGCAGTAAATAGGTCAAAATGCAGGAAGTTATATTTCTTTTACGGTTTTACCTCATATCTATCTCTAATAATTATGTCTTTCCGGTCTATCTTATAATGTATGTAGTACATTTGCTTGTATCTGGGTTGCTGCCTTTCATTCTTTCCCATTTTAAGTGGCTTTTCTCCTGGTCTTCTAATAAATCTGACGCTGGATCAGATATGTCCAGCTATTTATTACATGAGTTAATCTGTTTTCTTGCAGGCACTATTTAAAGCGAGATTCGAGCAAGCTCTAGATTCACAGAAATTGAACATAAAGGATTATGAACAAAAACTCCGTAGAAAAGGGATAAATCCTGATGATCCGGTGGCCATGGCTAGCATACAACGTGTAGCTTCCACATTCTTCAATGCCATTGACCAGAAAGAAGGAAGCCCTTATGTTTTCCAAGGCCACAAAAGCAACCAAGCAGGTCCCAGCAGCAGTGACATAGAGCAACATCAATCTGATGAAGAAAGTGATCAGGAGGAGCTTGACCGTTTTATAGCTGACATAGAAAGGGAAGCTGATAGAGAATGGGCTGCTGAGGAAGCAGCGGAGAAGGAAGAACTTGGGAGAATCAGATATTTGAACCAGGAGGATTTCAGTGGTCGGCCCAGAAGAAGATCAGAGGGAAATGGAAGTGATGGTGAATCAGATCGTGAGTTAGGAAGGACAAGGAGCTGGAATGATAAACGTGGCATGAAGTTTGCTCATGATGCCAGTGATGAAGATGACAATATTTCTGAGGATGATGATGGATGGCGTTCCAGAGGAAGAAGTAATTATGATAATCATAGAGAGTACAACAGTAGAAACCAAAACATAAGAAGCTGTGAAAAAACAAATATTGGCAAGGATAGGGGTAATGGGAAGTCCGAGACATATGGTAAACCTAAATTTGAAAAGAACATGTCGTATGAGTCTGCTTCAGATGATACGCTTAGTGATCTTGAGGATGCAATGTGGGAATCAGACGAAGGGGACGAAGAGTGCATAAAAGAAGGCACCACACCCCTACATGATTGCACAACCAATGGTGCTGCTGGTAACAACAAAACAAGTCATGGGAACAAGATGAATGTTCATAAGTTGAAACAAATGGATGAATGGGACAGTGATTAGTGAAAAGGCTTCATGTTGTAACTAGTACCATGCAATTGTGCATTGAGGAACCTTGTGTTTGGGGCTTGTGCGAAAGAACACTGAACAACAAAATCCTGGTTTTGTTGGGTGGCTTACAGTTAGGAGTTGAAATCAATTGGGAGGGATGCAGGCTTATGGGTCACTTGATCGAGGTGAAGGTGAATATTCACTGCCCATAGTTATCTTAGTATCACTTTTTTCAAAGTTGTCGTGCATCTATTGCTCATTATATAGAAACCTAAATCTGTGAAATAATATCTTTGGAGATAGAGGCTGCTACTTGGGTCTTTTTTCATGCACCGGCTTTCTTATAGGCAGATTTGGGCTGATTCTATTTACTGACGATTACTATGCATTGTGATGTATTAGAACATTATTGGAGAACACAATGCATGAAGAATATCGACGTATTGTGTTGTGTAAATTTTGTCTCCTTCGCCTGTAGCCTTTGGATCTCTTTGTATTGCAGTATCTTACATATAGTATTTGAATATTTCATCTCATTACTCTTTCGAAATACCAAATTTTTTTTTGCCGATTGAAGTGTTAAATGCCCAAGGATAGTGCTCAGATTTGGGAGGCCATATGCACATGAAGATGACGTGGCCTCTTATCTTTTGACGTCGTTTACAAATGTTTTATATCGGGTTTGTTGGGAATGTATACTCGTTGAAAAATGTGGCCATATCTGCAAAATTTTGCTATTGGTGCATATGTTCAGGGCCAACACCATTAATATGATTTAGTAAGGTATTGAAGCTGTATCCTATTTAATACGGAGTATTAGGACATGAAAGAGTGACACAGTTATTAAGAAAGTGAGTTTATGTGATTGATATATTCAATGTTCTCACATGTTTAGTTATTAGTTCACTCCACTTTGAGTGATCTATTCTATATCTGATCAGGGAGTGAAGGGTTGTGTTGGCTATATGTAGTGAGGGAGGACTTGATTTATTGATGTTGTTGGAATGTTTGATTCGATAATTTAATACTATGAAACAAATTATTATATAAGTTTTCTCCTTTAATAAAAAAGAAGTCAATTTAAATAGGGTGTCCCTTGGGGCAGCAGGGGCGGGGACATATACCTACAAAATGAAAAAACTTTGAAAATCTCGATGAGAATAATCCCAACTATTAGTGATTCGTTTGAAATAATTCAAATTATCAATTATCTCAAAATAATTCGAACTATTGTAAACAAATCTCAAAATACTCCAGGGACAATAAAATATTATAAGTCATTTACGTATTATTACTGTCCTTGAAGTATTTTGATAATTTTTTCAATAGTTAGGATTATTTTGAGATAATTGATGCTTTGGATTATTTCGAGCAGATCATATTCCTCATGTCAATTTTTTCAAAAACCTTAAGGCTGGTATATGACTTTTCTGGTTGTGAGTTAAACTAATTTTTCAAACCTAAATTAATATTTTTGTGCAGCCCAACTTCTGAGCGGTCCACTAATTGCAAAATGCTGTGTGTGTGATACTGAGATGGAGACATCCGTCTTCACTCTTCAGAGCATCATCATTGCGGTGCAGTCTAGTCTACTTAAAGAATGACACCTCATTAAATTAGACTTGGACTTTTTATTTTCTCCTCCAACACTTCTAGTCTTTGCTTACATGGCAACAAAAAAATTAAACAGTGTCGAGACGCATGTTTGACTGTAGAAAGGCATCTGCACTTGGTGACTCGGATAAAAATAACTTATCCCTTCGGAAAATAGGGAATCGGAAAAAAGAAAAACCACACCCTACACTTTTCAATATAGCCATGAATTCTTCAGTTCTTATCTCCATGACTCCAATTCTCCGTATCACCACACCATAAAATATTCTTAATTAGGTATTTGATATTTTGGTATTTAATTTTTTTACAAAGGAATATCCGGACCTCAACTCCCTGTAATCCATCTCTAGCTTTAAAATCTGTATACATATATATAATCACCTGAATTGATTTAAGATCTAATAACAATTGAACTGTGATTTCAAAGTAACCAATTTATCTTCGTATTCGTAGGAAGAAATAAATAAAACATACGTAGTAAGAAATTATATAGGGCAACCCATATACCTACTCTAGAGAATGATCGAATTGTCTCTATATTAAAATTGAGGAAGGAAGAATATGTATGAAAGCTTATTTACAGGGCAACGCCTTTGGATGATATGCATTGGAGCCTAGAAAGAATATCTACAGATTAAAAAGCAGTTTAGTAATTATTAAAATAAATTGCCTGTGGACATCTAATTGGCCTTTTGGACTTTATGCATTGGAGCCTTGCTTGGTATGTTAATGTCTATTTATTATGTCAATTGGAAAGCCTTTTAATAATTTGACATTTGCATAATTTATTTGGACTAGCATCGGGGATGCTCTCGGTGGAACAAAGGAGCAGCCGGTGGGAACGAGTATACACTATACACTTATCGACATCGACGAACGGAACGCCAAGTCGCCGACTCTCTGACCGCCCTGCGTCGACTCTTGGCCGCCTCCTGCCCCGCCACCTGCCCTGCCCCTGCAAGTGTCAAGTGCTCTTTCGATATCACTCCCCACTTCATCAGCTTTCTGGTGCGCCCCGCTCTGCCTACTGCGATTCAGCGTTTCACGCTTCAGGTACTCCTCCGACCTCTTCATTTCTTAACGGCTGAACTCGTTTAGTTCATTAATTCTGTAACTCCTAGTTGTTTAATGTTTATAAATGAAGAAAGAATTACAATATTACTCTTGGAAAGTGGGGACACAAATATGACTTAGTAACCGGCTATTGTGTTTAAAATTTACATCCTAGTGGGTTCATTAGTCGGCTGCGGAAGCAAAAATTTCTGCCAGGAGAGGCGGTGGTGTAAAATTACAGGTAGTATATATTAATACATACTACATTCATCTCATTCAAAGGTTCTCATCCATTGTTCATTGTGATCAAATTTTTTGCTTTATATATCAAATTTTATACATCATTCTTAATCTTTTGCTTTATGTATCAAATTTTTATCAAATTTAAATTTTCTTGATCAGACTTTGTAAAATTTTGGGAAAACTGTCAAATAGGTCCTCGAACTTTCATAAAAAAATCAATTAAGTCCTTCTATAGGAGGTTCTGTCCGGCCTTCGCGATTTGGGGCAGTTCCCGGTAGAATTTTTTGATGAAATTTTTTGAGCATCTTATTCACCAAGTCTAGTTTACTCATACCAAATTTCAGCTATAAATTCAATCGGAAACACATTCAAATTAATTCTTGAAGATAACTGCGCATTTTTGCGTTCTCAAATTAATTTGAATGCGCTCCCGATTAAATTTTTAGCTGAAATTTGGTATGAGTAAACTAGACTTGGTGAATAAGATACTCAAAAAATTTCATCAAAAAATTCCACCGGGAACCGCCCCAAATCGCGACGACCGGACAGAGTGTCTTATAGAAGGACTCAATTGACTTTTTTATGAAAGTTCGAGGACCTATTTGACAGTATTCCCTAAATTTTTTAATGTAGTTTCCGAATATATAAATTTTATTTACTAAAAATAATCAGAGTGTGAACATGGATCAAGTTGCTTTATCATCAGTCAAGGATCGTAAACCGAAACAAGAACCTCTCTATGGGACGGAGGGAGTATATGTTAAAATTTTGGAATAAACATATCTAGGAGGGAGAAAATGGGGGACCACGGCCCCCATTAGGCCTCATTTGTGTCCGCCACTGCATGTAGTCACTACTATGTAAACTTTGAATACAATTATAATTATTAATAGTTACTAAGTCACATTTTTGTATCTTTTTTATTAGTAATATTTTAGAAAAAAATCTCATAAATGAATAGTTGATAAACAATTAGTTGATTTGTTGGCTGTTTAGTGTTGACAAATGGTTATTTCATATTCATATTTTATCAACTAACAATAACATACAAAATCCATTAATTAATTACTACTATTATGTAATCGAACTACAATAATAACCTACGAGTGTTACTAACAACAATAGTGTAATAACATTATTGTTTTTTAAAATATTAATAGTAATAACTTATGCTCTTCTATTTATAATAACACACAAATGATAATTAGGATGATGATTATGATAATGATAATAAGTAATAAATAATGTTTGAACTTTTATGATGATGATTAATTGATTATCTGATCTGAATGTTTTGGGTCTGATATGATCTAAATCTTTTCGATCTAATCTGATCTGAATCTTTCAAATAAAATCTGAATCATTTTTATTTGATCTGGTCTAAATCTTTCTTATCTGCTTTGAATCTTTTTGAATGGATTTGAATGTTTCTAATCTAATTGGATTTGAATAAAATAAGAATAAGCAAGACGAACAGAACCACACCTTACTCTTCTATACTGCAATATTGCCTTTCAAGTTTAGTCCTCTTAATCTTAACAACTCTGATTTTTAGCTTCAATACTCCCTTACCCTTCTATACTTGGCAACTGTTTTGGCTTATTATTCATTAAGATTTCCATCTTAGAAAACTTTGAATTTTGGGTGTTTAGCACTTGTGTGCTAAGATTCCAAGTTTATATACGTAGTATAAGTTTCTATTTGTTTTAATGTTACTAGAATATATTCTTTAACGTACTGTTTACAAGAATGTGACAACTATCGAGGGATTAAGCTTATGAGTCACACCATGAAACTTTGGGAGCGAGTGATTGAGCAAAGACTTCGAAGGACTGTGAAGATTTCAGAGAATCAATTCGGTTTTATGCCTGGTCGCTCAACAACTGAGGCCATTCACCTTCTTCGGCAACTTATGGAGAAGTATAGAGATGCTCATAAGGATCTGCATTTGGTGTTCATTGACTTAGAAAAGGCATATGATAGGGTACCTCGAGAAGTTCTTTGGTGGGCCTTAACTAGGAAAGGCATATCACACAAGTATATCAGCATCATCATGGATATGTATAAGGATTGTACTACAAGTGTTCGTACTAGTGTAGGGAGGACTGAAGAGTTCCCTATTACTATCGGAGTGCACCAAGGATCGGCCTTGAGTCCTTTCTTATTTGCCATAGTCATGGATGAACTTACGAAGTCAATTCAAGACGATATACCGTGGTGCATGATGTTTGCCGACGATATTGTATTGATTGATGAGACGCAATCAGGTCTTAAAGCAAAGTTGGAAGTATGGCGACAAACATTGGAGAATAAGGGTTTCAAACTAAGTCGGAGCAAGACAGAGTACATGGAGTGCAAGTTTGGTGGAGGTAGAAGTAGTGGTAATAGCGGAATTACTCTGGATGGTAAGGAGATACCGGTCAGCGATATGTTCCGTTACTTGGGCTCCATAATTCAGAAGGACGGTGAGTTAGATGGAGATGTATCCCATAGAATCAGAACAGGGTGGATGAAGTGGAAGAGTGCGTCAGGATTTCTAAGCGACCGAGGTATGCCGACTAGACTGAAGGATAAATTTTATAGGACAGCAATTAGGCATGCATTACTGTATGGCGTAGAGTGTTGAGCGGTGAAACAATGTCACATTCATAAGATGAGTGTGACAGAGATGCGCATGCTGCGTTGGATGTGTGGGCATACTAGGAAGGACCGCGTGAGGAATGAGACAATCAGACAAAGGGTGGGAGTAGCACCTATTGAAGACAAGATGCGGGAGTCGCGCCTACGGTTGTTTGGTCATGTGCGTAGAAGACCGAGTGATGCACCTGTTAGGCGAGTTGAGATGTGTGGACAAGAGGCAGGGAAGAGAGGGAGAGGAAGACCCAAACAGACGTGAGTTAGGGGAGTTCGAAGTGATATGCTTTTTCTGGGGTTGGATGAGGGCATGACTTTGGAGAGAACTAAGTGGAGGGCGGGTATTCACGTGAAGGAGTGATCTTGATAATCTTTTTCCCTCATCTTTTTTTTTTCCTAGTTTTTTTTATCCTTATATATATATATATATATATATATATATATATTTATAAGCATTATTTGCAACCTTTTTATTTTATCATTTATATATATATATATTCATCTTTTTTATATTATCTTTTCATAATAGCTTATCTTTTTATCTTTATTCCTTCTTTTCCTTTTGGTTGTGATATATGTATCGATTCATGTTAGCCGACCCCAATATCTTTTGGTACTAAGGCTCGGATGTTGTTGTATACTATCTATGTAATTTAGTTTACCTAATTTGCTATGCATCTGCTATTTACAACAACACTATCCACTATACTTATATAGTGGTTTTTAGGCTTTCTGCCATGATCCTCTATCGATAACATTGTTACTCTCTTTTATACGAGTAACTGGTTTTTTTTTTTATGAGATTTTAGCAAACACAATTAATTTGAAGTTAGTCTGTTACTTTTTAATGAATGATACAATGCTATGTTGTTTCACAAGTTGATAAGAAACTAAGCATTTATTCCCATAAACTCTACAGTGGCATATTTTTCTTTTTGTATTTTCATTCTGTACTGATAACAGTACCATTCGTTCATTGTTTTGATGATATTGAAGTGACTACTGTTTATATCAGGCACTTGTCTTTGCCGCAAACTGCAGTTTCACTGTGCTTATCTTCTTTCATTCATTATATGTAGCCTGCTAGATTGTCAGCTCAGCATGGTGGGGTTCAAGAATAGATACATGGTAATGGAAGTATTTTTGGATCCAAATAAGGATATTGTGGGAAAGGACCCTATTATTATCACACAATTCAATCTCTCAAATTCTATCAAAGATAGCATTCTTGTGAACTTTGGAGAGTGTGGTCTAGCCTCTTCGCTCAACTCATTTCAAGGTAAGTGGAACAGGATCTACATTTCAGATTTTCACTCATCACCATAGTATTTGAGTGATGTTCCCTATTTGATTGTGCTTTACATATATTTATGCTAAAGAGTTGGATACTTTGTAACTTACGGGTGTCTGCGTTATTTATTTATTGGATACTTTTGAGTTCTCATTTTATTATTTTTTAATTTAAATATCCTAACTATCGTATATAAAATTCAATACCGTACATCACACGGTGAAAGATAACTATCATTTTAGGATCTCTATGATTGAAGACTATCAATCCAAGACTTGAAAAGATCACAAATTTTTACTCTTTTCAGTTTTAAATTTTCAAAGAAAATTGATTCATGGGCTACATATTAAATTTCATAACAAATTCATTCAAAACAAATAAAGAATGAAAATAAATTCATAATTTTTGAAGTCTTAGATTAATCATTCAATTCCTAAACTGATACCTGTTTTCATCTATTTCTTTATATGTCCTGAATTTAAACTCAGTTTTTGTCAATGCTTCATTTTTTGGTGTAGTGAAGTATGTCAACCCTATAACAAAAGTTTTCATCATCAGAGCATCCAGGGAAGATTATAAAAAAGTTTGGGCTGCAGTCACCTTAATTAGGAATATAGGGAACTGCCAGGTGGTATTCAACTTATTGGATCTGAGTGGTAAGCTCAGCAACTCCTCTATTTCACTCTCATAATGATGTAGGATTTTTCATATCACCTGCACTCTTGTTTTGTGATGATAATATAATAGGAAGTATCAAGGCCTGCAAAAATGCTGCTTTGAAGTGTGAAATGTCAAAGTTTGAGCACTATAAGTTGCTAGGTGGAAGCAATCTTAATGGAGATGTGGAGCAGCAGATGAAGAATTGTCTTGAAAAGATCAAAGTTTTGGAGCACTGAAATATACGAAACAAGTGTAATCCTCCATTTTTGTTTTCATTCATCACTGATAGTTGTTTTCATCCATTTTTGTTCCCTATTCCCCCTCACAATGGCAAAAATAGGAAGACAGAAAAGTTTTGATGAAGGGTACATTCTGTTGTAAAAGAAGAATGTGGGTCTGTCACTCTGTCACGCTATAATGCTATAATATACTATCCATATAAGCAAAGGTTTCTCAAGAGTGGGTAATTTGGGTTTTGTAAAGACAGATAAATGTACAGGACATAGATGCAATAATCTGATTATTATATATCGCAAAATGGCAAAAAAAATACATTTAGATTTTTGGAGACAAAAAAATATGATTAATTTTCAATTTTCAAAAACCAAGAATGATTTTTAAACTATTATCATCATATTATTTTGATTCTCAAACTAATAAATTTATCATTTTTAATTTTTATTCTATGTGGTACTACTAGGGATGGATTGGGACGGGTTGGGTCAGCCTGGGACCTCACCCGGTACTGTGCAGGTTTGAGCCGACCCGGGCGGGTGGTACCGGGACCGGGGGCCCGAAGCGGGTGGAAGAGGGGCGGGCTATGGGCCTTGCAAAATGTGAACCGGCTTGGCCGGTCTGGGTCCGTGCCCAATTTTTTATTATTATTTTTTATTTTTTCTCATTCGTTGGCTGCTAGACGGGTGGGATTGGGTGGTTTGGGGGTGATGTGAGTTTTCTCGCACTTAAATTAATAGTAGAATAGTGGAGAAAGTACGAGTATCGTCTCAACAGAGACGGACAAAAGGGAATTAAAGATTAACTAAATTCAGCGATTAAAAATAAAATAAAATAAATGCGTCGTGCGAGATTGATTGGTTGAATGGAAATTAAACAAACACGAATGAGCGAATAAAAATAAAGATTTGGGTTCTTCTTGATTAACGACGAAGGGAACAGGGTTTGATTCCGAGGTAATCAGATTTCTGGTAGATCAAGCCTAATTACATGAATTTAATTTAATTGAGCCTAGCTAATCAATACTAAGTTCTTACCGCTCTCGCGGCGTAGAGTACAATAATTTAGGGGACCAGGCTGATCTCTCATGCGACAGGATCCTAAATTATTGCCAAAATGAACGAGCTTACGACCCCTTAATCGCTACTAATCTCTTAGCGAACGATTAAGTATGCGTGAATGTGTCCTAGAACAAATTAGATCTCTCTTAATTTATTCTATGTGCAATTGTAATTCTAGTGGTCATTCTAGGTTGCAAAAGATATCAGTTAAATTGTTCAAACACAAATTAAACGACATTCATGCAATTAAACCATCAAGAAACTAGCCATACATAATGATAAACCCCTTCATCAACCCCAAATCCCTAATTAAAACTACTCCTCACTCATAATTGAAGAATCAATAGAATTGGGAAAAATAGAAATAATTGTCATTAATAAAAAAGTAGAAACTTACAAAGAATCTCAAAGAGTTGAAGAAATCAGGTTGAAAAGCTCTCTTAATTCGTTCTTAAGCTCTCTCTAAGTCTCATCCCCTTTTATAGGGTTAGGGAGGTGATATTTATAGGAAACAAAGAATTTGGGCTTAATTAGGGCAAATCGGGGCCAGACACGACGCCAGACACGATCGTGCCTGGGATCGTGCCTGCGGAGCAGACGCGAATTTCGTATAGAGGCACGATCGTGCCCGGCCCAGACACGATCGTGTCTGGCTGGCAGTAGCCCCTCGTGACATTCTTTTTCAGGCACGATCGTGCCTAGGTCCAGACACGGTCGTCCATGGCCTATCCTTGACCGTTTCATGCTGTTTCTTGCTCCAAATGCCCCCGGATGCAAATAAGGTCGATCCAAATGCTCTTTCTTCATCAGAATTTCGGCGTGAATCTCCCGGTGACCTCCAAATCACTCAAATCTTCCTCGAATGCTTCCAAACTCTTCCTGATTGCCTCTTTAAGCGCCGATGCTGGTCTCTAATGTCTTCAATTCAGCTCCAAATGCAACAAAACTCGACCCAACGCCTGATAATCACAACTTGGGCTAAAATTGAGACTTGCAACACCTTAAGGCTAGGAAAATCATCAAAATCCGACTCTAACACGCATCAAATGCATGTTATAATACGAACTTATCAGATTCCCCCACACTTAAGCTTTTGCTTGTCCTCAAGCAAATCGAACAACGGGACTTACGATAATTATCACACACGGAATTAAAACAGTTAGCATACACACGTAGCTAAAGGGATATTCAAAGAACAGACAATCAAAATCAAGAAAATTCTTCCCTAAACTACATCTTTGTACTCAAGCTAAACTATTCGACAAAATTATTCACAACATCCTTAAAGTAATGACAACATACACAAATAAACTAGCTATTGATCAGAAGGACTTGTGAAGACGGTGTGAAGATAAATGGTAATAAATAGTCCCTTTCTTTTGAGAGATTGGAATATTCTAACAAAGACTTAATGCATTCAGAAACTTCCGAGCTATTCTTAGGATCAAGGAACTCAGTAGGCCACAATTTAGGAACAATCATCTAAACCTATGCAAAGAGTAGACATGGTGTACAACTAAGCTAAACTGCCGCGGCACATTGGTGCTTTAACGTATACTTGAAGTATGCGGAGGACTAAATCTAATTTTGCTAAAGCCTCCAAGTTCATTAAATAAGTTTAGTTTTCCTTGTAATGTTGGCACGAGAACGTCATTTCTTTCGAAAGATACCCAAGGTCTCATCTTATTGTGCGAACACTTACGCTTTTTGACCCGGGCTCCCATTCTCTTTTTCGCAAGATAAGAGGTCTAGATATATTTTTTTTTGCCTTTCGGATTCTCACTAGACATTACCTCATTCTAATCTCGGCCTCACCAAGGAAAAATAGATATTAAAGTTCATTCACTAGACTCTGTCAGAAATATTCACGGGTAAGAAAACAGGCCATTTAGCTATGGAGCTCAATAAATTGGGTAAAGAACAAAAATGGTTAGGCTCAAAATGGCTTCTCCTAGAGGGTTTTTCCAGGTGGGATAGAAGATTTATTAATTAATTCAATGGGTGACTAATGTCTTCATCCTCTCAACAACTAGATTATAGTGCAAGTAATTTAAGCCTAAAAACTTCAGAGATGTCCTAAAAGCATAGTCAAAACGCTAGCCAGCTCACAAAGACATAGTTTAGAGAAAAAATTTCAAAAATTTGACATAACTTTTCTATGAATATAAAACTAACACCTGCGCATGCTGACTCTAAAAAATCACATGTAACAACTACTGCCCGGATGCCCAATTCACTCCCCCACACTTAAACTTTGGCATCGCCCTCGATGACCAAAAATGCACTATGCACTAGGGGATAAAGATGAAAGGGTCACGCGTGCTCAACTTAACTCAAGTCAATTATTACTAACAGGCGAGTATTAGAATCATAAAAACTTCCCTAAGGCGTTGGTCGGTGCAAAACTAAACTGAGTCAAGTGATCCTCGGCACATCATCCCCAAAGCAAGACCCTGAGTTGCAAAAACAAAACACACAAACACAAAAAAAAAGTGCAGAAATAAGCTTGGGTTGCCTCCCAAGAAGCGCTATTTTTAACGTCGTTTGCCCGACGCAACTACCCCACATGCTCTCAAATAACAAAGACTGCATTGGTGCACTAATAATCAACGTCTCCGTCTTCCTATCAACAAATTCCATTAGGTGTCACAAACCTTTAAATTCTCGAGTACACGTATGCAACACATGGTCTTCATAAACCTCATCAGCACAGAAGTGAAGTATGAAACTCTCATCCTCTTCAGGCGGATAGAGAACATGAGTGAAAGCTTTGATTACTCTAGGTGTCACTGAAAGCTCAAGAGATGTTTCAAAGCAAGGATTGGGAGCAACACCATAATCGAACTGCACCATGGAAAAGTCTTCATCTTCCTCACAAATATCATGAAAATTCACAACCTCTCCTTTGGACTCGGTATCACTCCCCATGAAGGCATCCCAACTCTCGTTAACATTGTTCTTATCAATATCATCTCAGATGATGTTGTCATTCTCCGCATAAAAAGAAATATCATCATCAAGGAGTGAATCAAAGACATCAAAATCTGAAATCACGTGAGAGTGGATCAGTGCATGTGTACAAGAGGGAAATTCTTGCTTGTGGAGCAGGACTTCTTCATTATGGACATCATCTACCTCGCCCCCACTCTCTTGGAGCATGTAATCATCTTTTCCCAACTCATCATCAATACCCAAACCTACCTCAGTAGCACCATCATCATGATTGATCTTCTCCTTGCCCTCCTCAGGTGTTGAGACTAATGGTAAATCAAACGGCTAGGGAGTTTCTGTATGAAGATCACAGTGATTTGTGACTTCATCACTTACAACTTTTACCGTTTTGAACTTTTTTCTGTATTCTTGGAAAAACAATTTGACACTATTATCTTCTTTTTCATCTTCAAACATAGGTGGATCTTCAAAAGTATCAGGAAGTGTATCATCCATCATGCTCCCACCCTCGCAGTCTGACTCAATGTCATGATCATCCCTATTGATCTCCTCAGGTTGGGCTTCTGTGTCACTAGGATGGGATCTCTCGGACTCCTCAGATAGGGCGTTAAACAGCTGATCCAAGTGATTCTGCATTCTGGAAGAAAAGGTCTCCATTCTAGCTGAAGTAATATGCATGAACTGTATGAGCGTCTCTTCCAAGTTAGAAAGCCTCTTTAAATCTGCCTCCTCTTGTTGATTCCGTGGCTCATAACTCGGCAAGGATGTCGGAGTGGCTGAAACATTTGTGCATGTAAATTGTGGAGAGGACGAATAAGGGTATGCAGTGTCCTGGAAAGGATGGTCATATAGAGGTTTGATAGGGCAAAGACATAAATGGTGACCTCCTCCACAGAAGGAACAAATGCTACCCTTAAAACATTCAGATATTTCCTCAGACGTTTTAGTTTGAAGAATAAATTCAAGAAAGGAGTCTGGTCTTACGCTTACCCAAGAGTATTGTGATGAAGGATAGTAAGAATCAGAATGAAAAGGTTGCGTGGTTGGAGTGTATGGATAAGTAGGCTGAATATTTTGTGGTGTAGGAGAATAATATTGGTGAGGTGTGTAGAATTGAGGAGGAGGAGGAGGAGGAGTGTAAGGGTATGTCGTAAATGGTGAATATTCCATGGAAGTTTGAGGGTAAGGAATTCCTCGAGTAATTTCACCGAATGGGTTCACCACATGCCTCTTTGAAAATACCTGAAAGGTCAGTACAGAAAAAAATCCTACGAAAAAAAAACTAACTAAAAACAAATATCGCTGAAAATAGTTAACCCTTAAAACCGACATTGTCCCCGGCAACGGCGCCAAAAACTGATGTGAGTTTTCTCGCACTTAAATTAATAGTAGAATAGCGGTGAAAGTACGAGTATCGTCTCCACAGGGACGGACAAAAGGGAATTAAAGATTAACTAAATTCAGCGATTAAAAATAAAATAAAATAAATGCGTCGTGCAAGATTGATCAGTTGAATGGAAATTAAACTAATGCGAATGAACGAATAAAAATAAAGATTTGGGTTCTTCTTGATTAACGACGAAGGGAACAGGGATTGATTCCAGGGTAATCAGATTTCTGGCAAATCCGGCCTAATTACATGAATTTACTTTAATTGAACATAGCTAATCAATACTAAGTTCTTACCGCTCTCGCAGCGTAGAGTACAATAATTTAGGGGACCAGGCTAATCTCTCATGCGACAGGATGCTAAATTATTGCCAAAACGAACGAGCTTACGGCCCCTTAATCGCTACTAATCTCTTAGCGAACGATTAAGTGTGCGTGAATGTGTCCTAGAACAAATTAGATCTCTCTTAATTTATTCTATGTGCAATTGTAATTATAGTGGCCATTCTAGGTTACAAAAGATATCGGTTATATTGTTCAAACACAAATTAAACGGCATTCATGCAATTAAACCGTCAAGAAACTAGCCATACATCATGATAAACCCCTTCATCAACCCCAAATCCGTAATTAAAACTACTCCCGACTCATAATTGAAGAATCAATAGAATTGGGAAAAATAGAAATAATTGTCATTAATAAAAAAGTAGAAACTTACAAAGAATCTTAAAGAGTTGAAGAAATAAGACTGAAAAGCTCTCTTAATTTGTTCTTCAGCTCTCTCTAAGTCTCATCCCCTTTTATAGGGTTAGGGAGGTGATATTTATAGGAAACAAAGAATTTGGGCTTAATTAGGGCAAATCAGGGCCAGACACGACGCCAAGCACGATCGTGCTTGGGATCATGCCTGCGGAGCAGACGCGAATTTCGTATAGAGGCACGATCGTGCCCGGCCCAGACACGATCGTGTCTGGCTGGCAGTAGCCCCTCGTGACATTCTTTTTCAGGCACGATCGTGCCTAGGTCCAGACACGGTCGTGCCTGGCCTATCATTGACCGTTTCATGCTTTTCTTGCTCCAAATGCTCCCGGATGCAAATAAGGTCGATCCAAATGCTCTTTCTTCATCAGAATTTCGGCGTGAATCTCCCGGTGACCTCCAAATCTCTCAAATCTTCCTCGAATGCTTCCAAACTCTTCCCGATTGCCTCTTTAAGCGCCGATGCCGGTCTCTAACGTCTTCAATTCAGCTCCAAATGCAACAAAACTCGCCCCAACGTCTGATAATCACAACTTGAGCTAAAATTGAGACTTGCAATACCTTAAGGCTAGGAAAATCATCAAAATCCGACTCTAACACGCATCAAATGCGTGTTATATTACGAACTTATCAGGGGGGTGGGGTTGGGGGGTGGGTAAGAATAAATTCGAAAAAACAAATTTAAGAAAAAAATATAGACCCGAGTACCCGACCCAGCTCGGTCCCGGCACCAACTCAGGCCGGTACCGGGTCTTCATCCCAAACCCCAAGTCCTGCCTTGACCCATCCCGGAGCCTGGCCCAACCCAGTCCCGGTTCATGCCTAGGTACTACATATAAGTGCATAACGTATATAGTAATCCAGTACTTCTGTCAGTTGTTAAATTAGTGTTTACCAAATGTTATTTACTTTTGCTAAATTTAATTTACAATTGGGACAAATTAATTAGTGAAAAGAGAGCGATTTACATAGCTTTCATTTTTTTGGGTTGAAGTGTGGAACGATATTGATGCACATGAAACTTATGTAGTTATCTATGCAGCACACTTTTGCGCACTCGAAATGTACAACTTTAAAATAGATTGAAACAGTTTTATGTTTGTGATTGTTTCAGTATTTTTAGAATCATAAGCTTTATCATATACTTCTAGTGTCTTAGAAGGAAAATACTTCATGAGTTCATGATTCATGAAAGTCCGGGAAGAATTCTAATTTGCTTATTTTGTACTCCCTCCATCCCGTTAGAAGGTCCCCGTTGACGGTTTACGATGCTTGACTGACGATAAAGCAACTTATTCCCTGTTCACACTCTGATTAATTTTAGTAAATAAAATTAACATATTCAGAAACTACATTAAAACCGCTACAAAGCCTGATAAAAAAATGTAAATTTGATAAAAATTTGATTTATAAAGTAAAAGATTAAAAATGATTTAAGTTGACCATGTGAATAGTGGACGGGAACCTTCTGATGGGACGGAGGTAGTAACATATAGTGTACATAGGCATGGTGAACTATACACTCTCATAGTTTTCTTGAATCAGTATATTTGATGCAGTGCGACATTGCTAATAGGGTGTCACAAACAAAGTTTATTATACATCATCCGTCCCGCAATTAAGTTACGAGATGAATTTCACACATATTAAGAAAATAAATTTCTCGGGGGTAAATTTTACTGTTTGGACATTATTTGACACTGTTTGAGCACTGTTTGACACTGTTTTGATGTAGATAATTTGCCAAATAAGAAAAGTAAGGAAGTGTGAATTTAATTGTGGGACTGCCTAAAAAAGAAAGTGAGAACTTAATTCGGGGGGGGGGGGGGGGGGGGGGGTATTTATTACAGAGTATAGAGGATGGTCTTTTTTCAAGAAAAAAGTATTTAAATTTTGATGCTTTTGTGCAATTTCAAAACATGTAAAGTTGAAGAAGCTAATGAAGATAGATTTAAAGGGATACCTTAAACCTAATAAGCAAGCAATTGGAGTTATTTTATGTTCTCTCGCTCTCTCCTTGTGTGGTTGAGATTTGTGCAGAGAAGAGATAACAACTGTAATCACATATTTCCTGCTTTAAATGAAATTGAAAAACTTTTTTGAGTGACTGAATAAGGAAATTTAACACCGTTTTGTGGGTCAGGAGAGAATGTGTTACATTTTTTGCCGAAGCAAAATATCCACTCATAGTAAAAATGCCATGATCCCATATCTAGGGTCAACCCACTCGCACAAGGCTCTTAATTTTTGAAGGCCCGAAAATAATAAATTATTTATAATATTACTCATATGTCAGATTGAAAGACAACCCGACAAGAGACTAAGCAAGTGAAGCGACAAATTAAGACCACAGAGGAAGTCGACTGTCAACAGGCAAATGGATGTCCGACTGTCTGAGTGACCAATGAGCGCCGTTAGCCCGCCTCCAAGAGTCTAGGACCACGAGTGAAGTGCCTCACGGGAGTCAAGGACTCAGCGCTCATGTCCAGGGCCGGATCATTGTGAGGGTAAGGGTGGTCTCCAGCCTAACCCAAATTAATATTTTTAGTTAGTATAATATGTAGGGGTGGGCATAAAATCCGAACCGAACCGGTATCGAACCGTCCCGTAATGGTACCGAACCGAATATCGGGTATTTAAATGCTTCTATAGATTTTTATCCCGTACCGAAACCGTACCATTTGAAACGGGTACGGGACCGGTCCTAGATTTTGAAAACTGAAAAATACCGGACCGAACCGTTCGTAAATAATGCATTTGAATTTTTTATATTTTTTCTATATCAATAGATCTATACCAATAATTTTATACCCCAAGTATGTATTCATGTGTCCCTAAGATATCTAAAATGTGTTGTTTATATATATTGCTAGTTTTTCTTTTTAGAAAATTTATGTTATATTTTGGTATGTATTGAAAGAATATTAAAATTTTAGAAATCATTAATGATTATTTATTTTTAGTAATGTAGTGTACATGACTTTTTGTTGTATCATGTTGTGCATTTTTTACAACTTAATTAATATGGTTTAAATCTTCGCTCTCAAGGTTCAACTATAAATTAAATTAGAACTACGGAGTAATATTTAACCTAGAACGAAGAAGAAGAACGTTGAAGATTTCTATTATATTCAACAATTTGATGATATTCGTTTGTATATTTTCACATGAACTTAGTAAATTAAAAATGATATTTATCTCGTGCGTCATCGTTTTGCTAACTTTTTCTTAGTTGTGTGGCACTATTTGTGTATTTGTGAATTTTAGTACTAGGTATGCAATTTCTTGTATTTATTTCAACATTTCATGTGAGTTGATTGGTGTAATGATATCTACTAATTGCAAGATTTGTTCAAAAATTTTAGCATGTGTTTGACATTGTACCGTACCATTTTGTACCATTCAGAAACGACATGGTACCAAACGGTTCTATCCTTGGAACCGGATCGTACCGAACCGTTAAAAACCTCACAGATACATTACGAGTTTTACCAATTTACCGGACCATTCCGGACCGCGCCCACCCCTAAGTATATGTATAGTTTCAATATCCAGCCCACCCCAAAATTAATCCCAGACCAGCCCAGCCCAATCCTATTAGCAATTAATCCACTCAAACAAACATGCCGCCTTCTTGTGCAAAGACTGCGAACTGCGGAAGCAACGCAACTGGGAAGCACGAAGGTCGAAGAGGTCGTAGAGGAGCTGCGACGGAGACACCAGACACGAATACCAGCCGACCTGCGGCCTCCAGACGCGCCTCCTCCCTCCGTCCACGCGTTCAGGTCCCTGCGTCGGCCGTCTCCCTCCTCCGGCTCTCTGAGTCCGACTCTGCCCTATGCGGCTCTGCCTCCTCCTTCAGGTATACTCTAAATTCTAATACTCTTTACACTTTTTTTTAATGATTAAACAATGTAGAGAAAACTGTTAAATAGGTTCATCTACTTTTAACAAAAAGTCAATTGAGTTCATATACTTTTTTCCGAGTCTATTAAGTCCACAACTATCAAAAAACGACCAAATCAGCTTTGTAGTAGGTAATAAACATGTTACCCGGTTAAATGCCTACGTGGGCGTCCCAGCTGGCATTTTTTTACTGTTTTCCAATTTTTGTTTTGTTTTTGGGAAAACTTTCAAATACTTCCACGTACTTTTAACAAAATGTCAAATGAGTCCATGAACTTTTTTCCGAGTCAATAAAGTCCACCGACTATATGAGATTGGAAAATTTCAAACTAAATGGCCATGTCTTTTACCCGTGCGATGTATGGGGTATCTAGAATAGAATAAAAATTTATTTGAAATTATATTTTATTACGATGATACATGATGTGTATTTCTATCAAATATAAAAAGATAATAGAGTTTATATGTTGTAGCTTTGGTCATACGAAAATTTGTAAGTAAAAATTAAAATAAATGATAAGATGTAACAATAAACTCTATGTGGCATTGGAATCAATAATAATATAATTAGAAGTAGGTCTCATAAACTATAAAACAGAAGAACCATACTACGTAAATGTTTATACTTTACTAAAAGTATCATATCATTTCAAAAACTTCTTTATAGACCACATTATTAATGATGTTGAAACACGTCCCTTGTCATCACATATAAGAATCTTCAACCACTTCTTGAAATGAAGAACATTAATTTATTCATGCAATTGTTGTGGTTTCATTTTTTTTGGCAAAATTGTTTTGGTTTCAATTAAGTTCTAACGATTTACTTTGAAAAACAGTGTGTAATTTCAAACATATTTAAATTAGGGTTGTAATCTAATTTCAGTGTAAAATAGAATTATTCAAATTTGTATGAAAATAACAAATCCATTGGTATGTGTTTTGAAATTATAGTTAATAATGCTGTAGCTTAGGATATTTTAAAACTGACTAATATTTGATCGTTTTTGGATAGTTGGTGGACTTAATTGACTCGGATAAAATACATGAACTCAATTGACTTTTTGTTAACAGTACGTGGACCTATTTGACAGTTTTCCTAAAAATTAAAAAATTGGAAAACAGTAAAAAATGCCAGCTCGGACGTCCACGTAGGCGTTTAACCGGGTAACCGGTTGATTATCTACTAAAAAGCTGATTCGGTCGTTTTCTGATAGTTGGTGGACTTAATTGACTCGAAAAAAAGTACATGAACTCAATTGACTTTATGTTAAAAGTACGTGGACCTATTTGACAGTTTTCCCAACAATGTATTATTTGTTTAGCATTGTATTATTTTGTGAAACGTTGTTAATCTATTTGAATATTTGATTAACACAGAGGGCCTGGAGCGATTGTGTCATTGTTTTTTATTTGTTAAACATTGTGCTACGTATTATTTTGTGACTTTTTGATATTGTGTATTATTTTTTTAGTTTTGTAAATCCATTTGATTATCAATTGATTTTTTCAGTACATAGTAAAATAGTTTTATTCATTATATATTTATAATGATTAAACATAGAATTAAAGATTAGAGAATGATTTATTTATTATACAATTGAAGATTAGAGAATGATTTATTTATTGTGTGGACATGTAAGAAAGAATTAAAAATTTCAATTGAATTTTGAAATACCAGATTCTTTAATAATCATTAATAAATCTATAGTCGCACCAAAAACGTTCAACATTTTAAGTTATATACTCCGTATAATTTATGCCTAAACTTTATAAGTTATCAATAGGCTGGTGCCCAGATTGACCCAACATCACTAAACTAGAACTCATCTTGAATAACTATTCGAACTCAAAATCTAGTACCTTTTCGAGTTCGAAACTCGTTAAGCTCGGGTCGTTAATTAAATTCAAAATTACGCTCGAATTCGAGTAGTTCAAAAATAGCTCAATTCGATAAAAGCCCTAAACTAAACCTTTTGTGTGCAGTAACAATTTTTTTACTGCTTAGCTCACCCCACCCCTCATTCCTGGATCCGCCCTTGCTCACGCCTCGTCTACTCACAGCTCTCAGGCCTCAGCAGTGGCTCAGCCCTGCCTCCAGGACCACGACCAAGTCACTGAAGTGCCTCACAGTAAGTACTAAGTAGTAAGAACAGTTTTTTTTTAATTGCAAATTAGGTTGTTGACTTGTTGTTATTTGTTTATTTGTTGAAGTTATTAAGTAATTCAATTGATAAATGATAATAATTGTATCTAACAATAAGAAATTGATCCCATATAAAAATTAGAAATTGGTATAAGTATGTTATTACTCCTCTATCTCATTCAAAATTCTCACTTTCCTTTTTCAAAGGTCCCACTTAAAGGTTCTCATTTTCTATTTTAGGATACAATTAACAGCCTTAATCATTTTCTTGGAGGTAGGGTTGTAAACGAATCAAATAATTTGTGCTCGATTCGCGATTCGAATTCGTTTAAGATAATTCGAATTCGGAAAATTCAAATACAAATACAAATAAGAATATTAAACTTGATTCGAGTTGTTATCAAATACAAATAAGAATATTAGTCTATTCGATTCGAATATTAATCAAATATATTCAATTAATAATAATGGTAATATTATTGTCAATATTAATAATAATAGTAATAACACTATAATAATTTTTAAAAGATAGCAATACCCTCAAAGTGTAGCCCATGTATACACTTTTGCATACAGATCCCAAGCTCATTTGTAATAAATCAGAATATAAATACGAATACAAATCAATTTTTGGTTCGAATGTCTTTCAAATACAATACAAATAATTATGTATTCGATTTGAAGAATAAAATTAGAGTTGTTTGACTTTGATATATACAATTATCAACTTAATTCACACATTATAAGTATAATTTCAAATATGTGTGTGTTAGTGTTTATTTCAAAAAGTTTGAAATAGATTTATATTTATTAATCATAAAATTAATTCACTTTAGTATAAATTTCACCATCTAAAAATGCATTGATCCATTAAATTTAAATTCTAAAAACACATATTAAGTCATAGCATTCATTTACAACATAAAAAATACGGAGTATAAGAATAGTTATTTTAGATTGATATTTAACTACTCCGTAATATTTAACCTATGCCCAAATCGATTCGATATTCGTATATGATTCGTTAACTATTCGTATTGTTAAACAAATACAAATACAAATCAAAATTAATATTCGTTTCATATTTAAATTCGAATTCGTATTCGAAAAAAATTAAACAAATACAAATACAAAATCTCATTATTCGACTCGATTCGATTCGTTTACAACCCTACTTGGAGGTAGTGTTTATTAGGTAACTTTAGGTTTATAATTATACTATTATACTGGGTTATTTAATCGGTGAGTACTCCCTACTCGGCCTCCTACCTTGCAGAGTAGCACCTTTACTCGGCCCGAGTTAATTATCCGAGTTACTCGCCCAGTACTCGGCGAGTTAGTCAACTCGGTGAGTTGGTCAAATGGGCCAGTTACTCGCTACTACTCTGTGTATTAAAAAAGCTGCGCACAAAACCTAAAAGTCTCAAACTATTTTAAGCGGTCATATTTTGGGGCTTCGACCAGTGCTGCTACATCGTTAGGAGCTGCGACTGGCAGTGTCGGTCATCTTTTGGGGCTTCGACCAGTGCTGCTTCATTGTTTGGAGCTGCGACTACTAGAAGCTGCCAGTTCTACGAATCTACAGTGCTGCTGGGAGTCACCTGCGAGTGCTACAGGGTTGCTGCGAGGTGCTACAGGTAATTTGTTCCCTCGTTTCTTCTTCCTCTTGTTAAAAAAAATTAAATTGGGATTATTCAAACGGCTGCAGCCGAAATTGTTGACCATTGAATTCCCTGCTACTAAGTTCCTTAGTTATTATGTTACTGAGGCAGTGAGGCATTAAGTTCCTTTTATTCTATGTATTAAGCATTGATTTTTATATCAATTTTTCCTTGGCAAGTTGGCAGTGCCTGTGTTTGGAGCTTCGTATATTCCCCTCCCCTGTCTGGCTGTCTCGTTTCTTGTTCTAGTAGTAGTAACCAAAAGTGTATCATTTTATTAACAAGCTCTTACAAATGTCCCTGCAATCCAAAACATGCTGACATGTTGTAAGTTTTAAGCTTACTATAATTTATACACTTAGGAAGCTTTAGCTACAATTTTTTTTCCCACAGAATGTAAGCTATTTTGATGTACATTTTTGTTTGGAGTTGCTAAGCTGAATGGTGTGACATTTCTATCTAGTTGAGATACTATATCCTATTCCAAATTATTTTTCTCGTTCATTATTAGGCAGTCAAACCTGTTCTTTTTTTAATCTGGTTTTATGTACTAAGTTTCAAGGTGCATACTATTATAGTCTCCATGAAAAATACACATCTAATCTGGTTTTATTAGATGATTGACTGCTTTATCACTTTCGTTTTATGACTTTTGCTACACCATCATTAGGATAATAGGATTTCTATCCTTTTATTCACTTCTATGCATTTTAAGACAATTTAAAGACTATTTTAAGACTACTATATTTCTGTAATATAGGGCACCTATATTATTATATTTAATTAATACAAGGCCGAGTAATCACCGAGTAATCCCGAGTAATCGGTCCTACTCGCTACTTGGCCCTTGACCGAGTTGCTACCGAGTAGCGAGTAAATAACATAGCTATTATAGTCTTTCATGGCTTCACCCGAAATCTACACTGAATTTTACCTTAAAACTTATACACTTCAAGAGATTGACATTGAAAGTTTGGTAGATACTTTGCATCTAAATACGCTCAAATAATGTCTCTTATTAAATGAAATGTATTTTATTAATGAAAATTTTTATTTTTATTATTATGTTCATTAGTTATTTTTATTTTCGTCTCTTATCAGGTTAGCTCTTACATTCTTTGGTTTGATATAGTGATATTAAATTATTCTTCGATGTATCTTGCCTGTGTATTTGTCAAACTCTATAGATTCTTTGTATGCATATGATAACATCAGTGTTTTAGTACAACTTGTGTAGCTCCCTAGCCATTGACTATCCCCCAGTTTACTCCCTAGCCAAACAAAACAGAAGATGACCTGATAAGGCCTTAAACTCCTTGAGTCCCTGTTGTTCACAGTTATAGGCTTCCATCCCTTAAATTCGAAATTGAGAGAAGGCCTGATTCTCGAAGCTCCTCAGTCCTCAACAAACCCTTGTTGTTCACTACTTTTGGCTTCAAATGCACACTCTATATTAAGATTAGGCAATCATAGATTGAATAGAGTTCAATGAAAGTATTTTTTCAGGCAAAAGAAGATCATCCATTGAGCTCTCTCCTGTACTATATCGTTCAAATGAAACGTCATTTGGCTTCCCATTTTTAAATTTTAATTAGTCTTGATTTTTTAAAATGTAATCTTGAGTAAGTGTTCCCATTTGGTGTTGTGCTTGAATACTTTGTATGCCAAGTGCATTGTGCACCTTTATGCATCGTGTAGTTTCCAATAATGATACATCCATTCTTTTTCAGTTTCTCCATTAGTTAAAATGAGTGACGAAGAGGTAAAAGGTTCTTCTGATCAAGATAGGGAAGAAATAAATGTTAGTGTGGAGATTCGTAAAAAGAAAAGGAAGCTAAAACTAAGGGAGGAAGCTAAGAAGGCTGGAAAACGTGGAGTTTGCTACATGAGCCGGGTGCCTCCACACATGGATCCTGTGAAGCTCCGTCAAATTCTGTCTCAGTTTGGTGAGATTCAGCGAATTTATCTTGTTCCTGAAAGTAAGTTATTCTAATCTCCTCTGTAGTATGCAAAATGAGTATTAATTAGGCTCTTAGTTATTTTTAGTTAGGTATTATCAAGCTAAGTAAGATAACATTATCATTTAGTAACATAGTACAAAATTGTGATAAAAGGTAGTTAATGCAACTCATGTGAGATTTTTGTGAATAGATCCAGCTGCACAAATGAATAGTAAACGGGCTGATGCTTATCGTGGACAAGGATTTTCAGAAGGGTATGCAACTTGAACTTGGAATTGGAAGTTTTATCCTACAAAATCCTTACATGGTATCTGAAAAACTATGTACTTAGCAAAATAATAGAAATGCCTACTCTTCCATCATATGAGTAATGTGTATGGTGTTTTTGGATAAAAAGTTTCTAACACTCCGTGAATCTACTCCTGTTTATTTATTTTTGTTTGTTTGTTTATTTATTTATATTTTTATTTTTGTTATTGTTTGTGCGTGTGTATAATATTTAATAAACATATCTGTCTAGATGTCACTTATGATAACACCTTTTGTAGGTGGATTGAGTTTACAAAAAAGAGCATAGCTAAAAGGGTCGCTAAGATGTTAAACGGTCAACAAATAGGTATAGTCAAATTGCCCGTATCTGTGTTTGTTTCTTGTGAGTTTGTGAATATCATCTATGATTTCAAAGTCGTGCTTGGTTTTAGGTGGCAGGAAAAGGTCAGCATTCTACTATGATCTTTGGAATATCAAGTACTTGAGTAAATTCAAGTGGGATGATCTTACTGAAGAGACTGGTAGGGAACATGGATGACTGGTTATTCATTTAGTTGTTATATGTTTTGATGGCCAAACACAAATTCATCTGGCTGAATAAATTCTTGCAGCGCATAACAATGCCGTTCGGGAGCAGAAGTTAACATTGGAACTGTCAGCTGCGAAGAAGGAACGAGATTTCTTCCTCACACAAGTTGACAAAGCCCGTGCCTTGAGTGCTATTGAGGAACGGTTAAAAAAGGTGGCACATGTTTACCTATCTTGCTGCGTTCCTAACCCATAACTGCTGCCATAACCTGTCAACTTTGTAATTTGTTTATGTATTTATTATGTTCCGCAGAAGCAGAAAGTAGTAGAAAAGTCAGTAGAGTCTTCTGGCATTCCAGAAAAAGCGGATGGGCCAAGAAAGTTCATTAGGCAATTCCACCAGAAGACGGCAGTGGCAGCAGCAGGAGCTGGAGAAAGGCAAACTAGACTGTCTAAGGATACACTAGTGGCAGTAATTTCTTCTTTCTTCCTCCTCCCCTTCTACTGCTTTTACATATATAGAGTAAACTTTATCTGAATGAAGAATAAATATGAACACTTTCGTGCTTCAGGTGTTTGGTGGCCCATCGTGATTGCATTTTCCGCTGCATGAGTGTAAAATATGTCTCAGGGATGAGGTGTCAACGATACAACATTTCATGATTTCTTATGATTTCCTTCATGAAGTACTGTTTATTAACATATATTATGATTCTTGTTCATAGAAACTGTTGTTTACTCTCTTTCTTGGAAAAGAAACGCGTTTTATTTAGTATTGAAAACTGAAAAGATGAGCATTTTATTTTATACATATACATATATGCCGTGTTTTTAGTGGCAGCGCCTAGGCCTAGAAAACATCATGCTCGTTAGCTAGGCATAAAAAATACTTAACTCGAAAGTTGAGCACCGAAGGCGTGCAAAAATGTGTATATATAAGCGTTAAAAGGAGTGTGAAAAAAAGTCCATTTTTTATTAAAATGAGAAATTGAGCGTGAAAAATTTCCATTTTTTTAAACAAACCACTTGTAATTATATATATATATAAACTATGTAATCTAATAAAAAATAATAGCGGTATTCGTTTCTGTATTTTTGCCTTTAAATAGCTGCATCTAGGGATTCTAGGCCAAAAAAACATCATGCTTGTTAGCTATGCATAAAAAAAATACTTAACTCGATTAAGTTTTGCTAGGCCAAAATTGCGTTTATGTAAACTGAGCTTTAAAAGGAGAGACTGAGCGTGAAAATAGTCCAATTTTTTTATTAAAAGGAGACTGAGAATGCAAAAAGTTCAAATTTTATTATAAGGAGAGACTAAGCGTAAAAAAGTCCCTTTTTTTTAAAACAAAGCACTTGTGCATATATATATATATATATATATATATATATATATATATATATATATATAAAGTTATAAACTATGTAATTCAATAGAAAATATTTTTTCCAAAAAAAAGAAAATAATAGTGGTATTATTTTCTGTGTTTATTCAGTTAAAATTAAATTTGTATTAGAAAAGTAAATTTTCAGAAATGTTCCAAAGTTGGTAAAAAATTTGTGTTTCTTATACTACGTATATCACTATAAATAATGAATACTAAAGAAATAAAATAATATAATACAGCTCCGATACATTGCCACAATTCGTACCTTTTAGAATATTGCACGTACTAGATGTCTAGATCAAACAAACTTTCAAAGTTCCATGACTAATAGGGCTGTGTAAATGTAGTTTACATTCGACAAAGATTAGGTACAGAAACCGTTACAGACGTAATATTTGTTGTGGTGTAAAAAAGCCTCTGCAATAACAAATAATTTGCAGGTTTTATTCATTAGCAAAGCCTCACGGCTACACTTCTAAAAGCACTACCCAAACACGAATGTGCAAGACCAATCTTTGAGCTGTATGTATTATTGTCGATAGTTATAGAGCTCTTGATATACAAACAAGGAAAACCCCAATTACACAAAAATCAAGACTCGTGAGGCACATCAGTTGCAACATCCACCTGTCTGAGAAATTGCTCCACCCCTTGAACCACTATGACCTTGAGGTGGTTGCCCATATCCAACCTTGATTCCATATGACTGCAAAATTGTTATGAAAACAACTCTCATTAATGGTTCATTTTATCAATCAGCAACATGGATCAAGTTGTTTTTAAGTATGTTTTTCATGGAACTCTTAACATATCAGTTTAAAAGATGACATCCAATAATTGCAAATTTGCAATACTAAACAATCTCATTATAAACATCTGTGCTTATACAACCAAGCATCATAATACAGAAGACATAGAACCCCATGCCCCCCCCCCCCATTAATAGCAAGCAGTTTTACCTCATTGGACACATCAAAAAAACCTTCCTGGATTTTATCAAGTATTTTTGAAGCAGTGTTTTTAAAGGCCTGCAGCAAACGAAGTGCATCAGATCAAGAACAAGTTTAATGAGTCAAGAGTTTTGGCTAAAACATATCTCACCTCCTCAACATTTTGGCCAGTCTTAGACGATACCTCCAAAAACAAAAGCCCATGTTCTTTTGCAAACTGCTCACCCTCTTCTTTACTGATGGCTCTACGTTGACTTAAATCACTCTTGTTTCCTACAAGCATGATTGTCATGTTTGGATTTGAATGCTCCTGAGCATCTTCCAGCCAGCTTGCAAGATGATTGAACGTTTCTCTCCTATATAGATGAGTTTTTAACTGAGAATGTGTGAGTGATGAACCATACAAATCAAGTGACCTAGAAATTGAACAAAAATAACATCCATTTCTTTGATATCGAAGAACCATCCTATATAGACGCTTTTATGCATCCAATGTGCGCACAAGAATAGTGAACATATTCCCCCCCCAGAAGAATTCGGAAACTGGTATGCATTTCAACTAGTTGTAGTGATGCATTTTGGTATCCTAACTATTGAATGAAGCACACTAGTACCCTAATTACCTATGAAGCATTCTTCACGGCTCACATTTTCCCGTTTCAGAAACTTGAAAGCATGTCAAACTCAGAAACTTCAAATTCCCGTTTTGGACTGTTTTTGTAATCAAGAAGAATTGAGAAACCCATTTCCTTAAATAATTAGCACTTCAGAAACTTCAGGGTTCTAGATTATTTTTTATATTTGATGGGATTCCATGATGGAAAATATTTTCTATATCAAACTTTTTAGTGATTTTTTTATGGGATATCTTCCTAGCAACATTGTGATATTTCATAGCACAACACAATGCTAGAAATGGATTGAATTTTATGTTTTTCTTATGTACTAAGGTGTAATAGTTTCTAAATTTGAACATGTAGAATGTACGGAGTATTTATTATTGGTTTTCAAACAAAGTTATATGAAAAATGTCCATGTATATAAATGAATAACATGCACACATATATAATTTTTTGTATATATATGCTTAAATTTTTTACTTTTTATGCGTTTCACCGTGTTTCGTATTCTATATTTTTTAGAAAGCTCGTTTCTCGCGTTTCGCATCTTGCGCTTCAAATTTCCCGTTTCACGTTTCTATGCTACTTAGTTAATTATTGTCTAAGCCAATGGTACCATTTAAGAAATCTGGAGAAAAAGTCATTTAACGTATGTGGCTCGAATTCCATGGACATTCCGAAGAAAACTATGTGCAATTAAGTAATACACATAATCGATGCTATCAAACTCACCCCAGACTCATCTGGTCTGATCGGTTCAGTGGAAAACCAGAAACATAGTTTAGTTTAGTCATTGCAACAATGAGAATTGCACGGGACTTGGGAATTCCCTATTCACCTTCATGTATTAATTATACAGAACTTCAGGGGATTATACATGAAATTCATACTGTCGAACAGGATTACTTTGGCCTGAATGAAACAAGTAAATGTACTTAGCGGATTGATTTCTTTCATTCGATAGTTTGGAAACCAGATTGCATTAACTCCACTAACAAAGGTATCATTTATGCAATTTCCAAGAAAATATTATCATGAAAACAAGAAAATAAGTTATATTTTTACCTGGTTATGTCATAAACCAGTAGAGCACCTGCAGCTCCTCTGTAGTATGATCTGGTGATAGATCTGAATGATTCTTGCCCAGCCTAGACAAAGTAGTGTTCTATGTTATGTTAAAATGTACTATGCACACTTTCTTCAGCACAACATGATGCCACATCAAACTTCCATAAACTCAAGAGTTAAAACACTATATAACAAATAAATATGCATATAAACAGATTACAGTTTCTAAATGGCTGTAGACATTACAATCCCGGGAACTACAGAATCAAGTGGCATATGGATGTGTGAAAATGTCTAAATACAACTTCTAAAGATGCTGAGACTAATCGCTAACCTTATACGAGTTGCACGATCGATAAAACTTTAAAATGAATTTGAGGGGAGTAGAATAAATATGCTGGTTGTATGGACCTAGTAGCTACATACATCTACACCCATGATCAAATTTTATTATATCTCGTGTAGTCATGTAGACGACTAAGCAATCAACATTTGTTATCCCTGTCCTCTTAACTAACAGCAGTATGATCTTTTTCCAGTGTGTAGGGAATTACTACGAATACGAAACCTCAGCTCAAAAGAACTATACAAATTATGATATACCGAAGTGGTTGCGATAAAATGGGTATGAATGGAGTGGAAATGGAGGGAGTCCCTCCTGGGAAAGACTTGATTGTGTTGAAAGGGACGCAGCCTTATAATGTGATTTCAAGGTCAACATTCCAGAGCTACTTAACAAATGTCAATTGCTCAATCATCTACATGACTACACTAGATATAATAAATTCTGATCGTGGCTATAAATGTCTAAGAACTGTCTTTATACTTGAACGACCCATCCAAGTCAAAGAAGAACGCGACAGAGCTAAACTGATCAGAGATTATGTCATGGATAAAAATCAACTCACCGTATCCCAAACTTGAAGCTTGATGCGGCGACCGTCTGCCGCTGTGATCATGCGAGCCCCAAACTCAACTCCGATAGTAAGATCGTGTACCGGTTGGAACCTCTTGTCCGTGAACTGCAGTAGCAGGCACGATTTCCCCACCCCTAGCCATATTAAAAGCACCGAAATGTGATAAAATTAGGGTTTGAAATTTGCTTCAATTCGTATGTTAAGCTCTCAAAAGGGTGAGCATGACAGAGGAAGCTTTACCAGTGTCTCCGATAATTATGTATTTGAACAAGTAATCGTACGACATCTCCTACGGCGGCGTTCCCGGAGCAGAAGCGCAAAAAATGGAAGCAACTTTATGTCTGTATCACAGATACGAGATCAGAGGACGGACAACTCTGCAGGAAAAGAAAGTGAAGCAAAGCTGAACAACATGGCCAGGACAAATAATTTTCAAAAAATATTTAGGGCCCATTGACTAATAGAAACATTTTTCAAAAATGTTTTTCCATTGTTCCAAAAGGTGGAATCTCTCATCCCATGAGCCCCCACCCCGACCCTACAGGATGATGGGGAAGTTAGTCACGGTGACTCAGTCACCAGAATGGCAGTAGATCCATATACCCGTGCGCACCAGAGGCTCAGTCTTATTTCAGGTTCTGTGACCTACACCCGATCGCTGCGGGGATTCGAACCTTGGTCCATTGTTCCAAATCTCCCACCACTCGACCAACTAAGCTACCCGTGCGGGTTCAAAAATGTTTTTCCAAAAATTTGGAAAACGCGAGATACAAAAAATGGAAAACTTATTTACTTGATCGTTTTCCAAAAGGAAAAAAACGAAACATATCTCGTCTTTTCCTTCTGAAACGGAAAAGCGAGTTTTAGAGGTTTTCTCAATTTAGAAAACGCGGGGCTACAGTGAAAGTCAATTTACTCGCCCATCTTCCTCCGCACTCCATCGCTTTAACTGCGCTCTTAGCCTCTTACCTTCCTCACATACCCTCTTTACATCTTCACCCAAGTGCTGCAATTTGTAGACCATCTAACCAGCTATTAAAGTCGCATGAGAGCTTGGCCAAGCTACAGGTACAATTTCGTCTAAGGAGAGCTTCTCGTACCACTTCTTCACATGTCAACCACGGTCCAGCTTCACCAAACAGAGCATCGCTGCTAGGAGCTGCATCCTGACATCACGGAATCTCCCAATTCTTCTGTCGGCTCCTATTACGTCAACAAGTTCAAGGTAATCTCTCAAATTAAATCAAATTAAATGGATTTTACACTTTCTTTTTCAAAATTTGAATTTCATTGGAATCCTGAAGACCAATTAAGCTTCTTGAAACCTGAAAATCATACCCATATGACTCTTCTAGCATTTTCAAGGCCAATTTAAGTTTTTTATGGTTTCTGGCATTTTTTGCCTTAGTTGCCTACGATTAGTGCTTTTATCAATTTGTACTAAATGAATTTCAGTTTTTGAATTTGTTGTAGCATTGGGTGGTTTTAGTTAGTTATAAATTTTTGTATGGGTGACTATAGTGTAACTGAAGAAGACTTACAGAGGGATGGTGAAGAGCACTTTGTCGCGGTGCGTCATCTTTATGCACACTAATTAGTAGTGCATAATTGTATGTTTTTATATTTGATTTGTGTGGATTGTTTATCGTTTTATTTAGTTTGTGAATATTTGTGATATTTTAGTTGTAATTGTATTTTAACCTTCATTTGTAAGTTGTAAAGTAGAATTAGGAATTGTGATGTTGAAAAGGAGGACTTTGAAGTGAAGAAAAATGGGTTTTGACTATCCAGGAGCAATTACCCAATCGGGTAGAAGACTTCACCCGGTCGGGTCTGATTTAACAACCGAAATTGTCTGGAATATCACTGGACCCGGTCGGGTCCCCTATTCCACCCGGTCGGGTCAGACTTGACCCGGAACACCAGAACGTGCCGAAGATCACCAGAACGTGGAAGATTATCTGATTTTGACCAGACCCGGTCGGGTGAGCACTTGACCCGGTCGGGTATCCGGCCCAATGTGTTGAAAAACACCTATAAATAGCACACTTTCCCTTCACAAATAATCATCCCTTCTTTCATACTCTTAAGCTCAGTTTAGAATAGCATTTCTTTATATTTTTCTAGCTATGTTTAGTCTCCAAATGAGGAGCTAAACTTCCAATTCTTGGCGTTGCTCTTGAAGCTTGTTGATTATTAAAGTTGTGAGTTATTTTGGAGTTGGCCGAGAAATGTGAGTTATCTCGAAGTTGGCCGAGAATTGTAGACATTACAACGGGCGGTCATCAAAGCGAGATATGGCGGCGGAATCCAACACTTTCATTGAGTTGTTGGACTCCGCCGCCATAACTTGCTTTGATGACCGCCCGTTGTAATGTCTACATTTCTCGGCCAACTCCGAGATAAGATTCATAGCTTGAGAAGGCGTTTTGTTGACGATCCCCCTCCACATGCGGCGTTGATCATCCGCCTATCATTATTGCAAAGACCATCATAGAAGTATAGGATGAGGTCTTGCTCCGAATAGTCGTGGTATGGACAGCTCGCACAAAGTTTCTTGAATCGTTCCCAATATTCATAGAACGATTCATCATCTTTCTGCTCCACATTGCTGATTTGCTTTTTGAGAGATGAGAAGACAGAGGCAGGATAATACTTTTCGAGGAAAGCTTTCTTCATGGCCGCCCATGTTCCTATACTTCCCGAAGAAAGATAGAATAGCCAATCTTTTGCGGTATCCTTGAGGGAGAATGGAAAGGCCATCAACTTTATTTGTTCCTCGGTGACTCCATTGGGGCACATGCTTGTGCAAACAACATGGAACTCCGAGAGATGTTTATTTGGGTCCTCCCCTCTTAAGCCATGGAAAGATGGAAGTAAATGGATGAGCCTCGATTTGAGCTCAAATGTAGCACCTTCATCAAGAGTAGGGAAGGTGATACATAAGGGTTGTTGGTTTAGATTAAGACCTGTGAGCTCCCTCAACGTTCTTGTTTCAAGAGCCATAGTTATTGGACTCGCTAGAATGAGAACTAGCCCTTGATGAATCTCTGGTAGATGATTCATCTGGGTCGGTATTTGAACATTTACTTTTCAACCGCTCGAAAGTTTGTTCTGTTTCCGGGTTTGTTTGGTAGGTGAGTTGGTTTATGGATCGGGTTCTTACCATATACTCAAACAAAGCTCAGAAAAATAGAAATCTTTATATATATTATTTTTTTGATTTTTTTGGAATAAAATAAAAAGAAAAATTATTGCCCTTCCCCGGCAACGGCGCCAAATTTGATGAGCACTTTGTCACGGTGCGTCAAAATAAATCGATACTAACACTTATACGTAGTATAGGTGAAGTGGAGTTCGTATCCACATGGAAAGGAATGATTATCTTTTTAATGAAATAAGTAAATAAGGGGGAGGGGGGATTTGGATTGAGTGATTTAATTTAATTAAAAACTAAAATGAACGACTTATATGAGATTTAATTCAAAGATAAAAAGGACTTGACATTGCTACTTTCCACTTGTTGATATATTTTAGTCGATCATTGTTATATCTATAAATTATTCCCTCTCGAATACTCAATCGAGGAGTATATCCAATTCATCAAGGGTAGTTATTAACAACGACCGTTCATTAATAACCTTTACTATTAGTCAAGTATAGAACACCACCATATACCGACTTGATAGTAGCATTTAATCTCTTAACTCCTTGATCAAATCAATTGAGATTGATAACCTCAACACAACGGTTTCGGTTTAACCAACAAAATTAATCCCTCTTAAGTTTATTAACCACGACCGTGCATTAATAAACCGAAGTTACTTACTTGTGAAACCATCAACGATTAACCATCGGTTCATCGATCGTTTCTAGTAATAATTAATATAAGAAACAAAACTAGTTGATTCTTTAAGTAATGTTCAAAATATTAATATGAAATATGAATAAGAATTAATTAATATTCAAGGAAGAATATTAAAGATGATAAATACTACTATAACTAATGTCAAGATGTTAGCTAATTGTCATCTTAGCAACACTCCCCAACATTAATATATAGAGGAAATAAATAAATACTACTCTAACTAATGTCAGACGTTAACTAATTGTCATCTTAGCAACACTCCCCAACATTAATGTATAGATAGATTAAGGGAATGATTAATATTCAAGGGAAGAAATTAAGAAAATAACGCACAACCAGTGGCGGAACTAGGGGGCGAGCCGGTGTCGGTGCTCCCCCTTCTCCGGTGGTGATTCTGTATGTATATATATGTATATATCTCAGCCCCGGTTCAGAAAGTATCCATATATTAAAGTGGAGTCGCTATTTGAATGTATGAGTTGTGATAGTTCAAATGGTAGGGTGGAGGTTGAGAGAGCTTTATCTACCTATTGAGCCTGAGTTCAATTCTTAGGAGCAACAATATTTTTTTTTGTTTTCTCCATTATTGCTTCTTTAGACTTTAGCCCATTTGGTAATTATTTATGTTCAATTAAATCACTCTAGGATGTAATGTTGTTTAAATCACACTTTTTGAATTTCTATATCTTTTATTTTAAATTCTCATTTCTTCAATTCAAATTAATTTTAATCATTTCTTCTTCTAATAATGACATATACGGACGTTGTCATTTTAATGTCAAGAATAATTCTAAAACTACTTTAAGTTAATATAAGTATTTACCTTTTGTTTAGTATAATAGCATTTTTATTTGAAACACACTACATATACATATATATAAGTTTCGGATCAAATAAAAAGAGTTCTTATCATGAAAATTGATCGAGAATAAATCTTGTGCATTTAACTTGAGATCCGATGAGTCAAAATCAGTCAACAATGCACTATATTTTATCAAAAACTCGGTGACAATTTGATAAATAAATCAAAATTTTCTCTAATTGTGAAAAAGTGTAAAATAAATATCTACTAGTGTGCCAAAACGAGTAAAAAATGCGCCCGTTCTCATTTTTCACTGGAATAACTCTTTTTATTAGAACCTCACTCTATATGTATTAATAATTATTTTTCACTCGTTTTTATTTTATCCTAATAAAAAATTGTTTTTCAAAAAAAAAATATAAGAGTACCCCCTCAAATTATTGTCTGGTTCCGCCGTTGCGCACAACTTTAATAATCAACAAGTTTGAAGGGCAATGCCAACTTTATTTAGTTTTAATAACTCAAGAAACATTTGTACTAAATTTTTGGCTTACATTTTGAATGAGATGAGGAGTAAAGCCCCCCTGCAAAAAACTTTCTAATCATGAATGGGGTCTCCGAAATTACATGCATTATAAGTTGAGTTTTTATCAACTAGTTCCTCAACCATAAGTGGCTAGCCTTGATTAATAGAGGTCATTTTGTTTCTATCCATGTTCTTCAATGAAAAGCTCTAAA